TATTTCACGGGTTAAATGCCTTCACTCTAAACCCGTGAACTAGACATTAAACTAATATTCATCGGTAGGCTTCTTTTGTGTCTATTTGACTATTACACGAACTAACATTTTTTTTTATTTCACGGGTTAAATGCCTTCACTCTAAGATTAATTGAGTATAACTTTATTTAATTATCAATGTATTTGTTTAACTAATTGGGGGCACTGAAATGAAACTGAAATGAAGAAATAATCAAAGATTACTTGTATTGCCTCCTATACAAGAGTACAAGAATACAGCAGCATACATTAAAAACAGCCACTCATTCGGTTTTCCCGTTTTAAGCTTTGTTTCCAATACGCGGGTGTGCTTACCATTTCAGTTCGTTAGCTTTAATCGCAAAGTGTTATACAGTAACCCCATATTCTTGCTTAGTTAAATAAGAAATTCAGCTATATGTATTTATCAAACCATGAATAATTCATGAGGAAAACACAACAGAAATGACGACCGTGAAGAGTGTTGTAAATCTGATGCAAAACTGTGTTCATTTGCATAAACTTTAAGTTGGATTTTCTTGGCCAAATTCACTGACTTTAATTTTGAAAATTTTAGTGAAACACAAAGGAACTAACCTAGACGTTTGATAAGTCATATGCAGTATTCGTGTCCGTGTTGTATCACATATACAATCACTCGGCTACGCCTCGTGGTTGTATATCTGATACAACACAGCCACTCAGACTGTATATATTACTTAATCTTGCAGGGAAGGGGTAGTTTCTCTCGCAGCTGTCATTATTTTCGGTTCCAGATCCACCCGGATTTGACTATTAATCCTACAAATCGATAACAAGACTGGAAAGAAATGTTTATCTCGATTGAGGAGCCGTTAGTGGGAAGTAACAGGTGCTAATGACAGGCAAAGGGTAGACCAGGTGCGAGACCTTTCGTGGTTCTTTTTCAGTTCCGTGGTCTGTGTACTTTGGTTTGCTAAATGTATATCTTAAGATAGAAATACAAACCTGTGTTGATCTTGGTTGATGGAACATTAGTCCAGCAGATCTATTAAAATGAAAAAGACAGAAGTATTACCAAGAGAAAATGAACTAAGAGAAGGAATCCCCGTGCCCCATCATGTGCACACTTTGATACTATTTTTAGAATCATTGATGGTATTTTTAACTCGTTACCATGCTCGCGCGATAATCATGCTTCCCTTTAGTGCCTCGTTTTAGGACACAAAAAGCGCCATATTTCTCTACGTCCACAACAAAAACACAGGCTTCGTTTACTGAAAGTCTGGAAGCCGTCTACCCTCGAGAAATCAAACAATCAGGTTCTTAGCTCAAAATATCTCCAAGCTAAAAATAGCATCAAAATGTGCACATGACAGTTACAAGGCTATATAGGTAGGATTCCTTCTCTTAGTTCATATTCTCTTGGTATTACTCTCTTGATTTTCTTCCTCCAAAGAACTAATTAAAAACTAAATTAGCATAAATGAACCGAAACGTGTAGCTGAACTAAATGCTAACAGGTACTTATTACGAAGATATATCATCAGGGACACTTACCTTCTCTCTTCAGCGTCTCTTCTCTCATTACCAACCAGCGAACTACGTACTTGTGAATCTTTGTTCATGGCTTGTGGACGTTCTTCCTGATAAAGGAATCTACTTGTGTCCAGTTTCTTTGTTTCAATACCCCCTTTCTTGATTCCATCCTGGGACGCAAAATTCGGAATGGAAACTCTGTTCGGTTTGACGACTTCTCTGTTCACGGCTTGTGGACGTTCTTCTCGATAAAGGAATCTACTTGTGTCCAGTTTCTTTGTTTCAAAATCCCCTTTCTTGATTTCCGCCTGCCGCTCAAAATTTGGAATGGAAACCCTATTTGGTTTCACGACTTCTCTGTTCATGGCTTGTGTTTCGTCCTGATAAAGGAATCTACTTGAGTCCAGTTTCTTTGTTTCAAAATCCCCTTT